ACTGTTAGTTAGGAACGTGATCTTTAAGTTCCCACCCAGCCAGACCGCATTTTAGTTAGTTGTCTCGATGTGGGCTGACAATAAGACGTGTTTATCGGAAGAGCGCATTTTTCCCACCTTATATTAAAGTTCGTTTTGGTTAAATTCTTACAAGCGGGACTGTTATGTAAAAGCTAATGTTCCTTGTCTTGTACTTGTCTAAATATCTAGTTCTTTTGTGAGTTTGTTTTGAGTTTTAGCTAGCTTTGCACCTTGCCTTTATATCGGGATGTTTGAAATTTTGGTTCGTCTATTCGAATTTAGCTTAGCTTCTTCCTTCTAATCTCCTATTTCAGTTTATGATGAGTACTAGGATACCTCGACTACATTAAATATAACGATTCAGGGCTTGTCCATAAAATATATTCTCGCTTCATAATGTGCCTTCATTTGCGAAACTCATAGTTGTCGTTGAAATTTTGCTTCGCTTGTGTCGGCCGCTACTATAGCGGGAGACCAAGCATTATGAAGCAAATATATGGTGCAGCTTAACTACAAACGACGACACTTGAAATTGAAAGAAATTAATTTTCCTTTATTCATTTCTTCCGATTTGAACAAGAGATTATTTGGCCAATAAGTTTACGCTACCCTTTCTGGACATACATACTGATTATCATTTCTGGAGGATTGCTTGAGCGCCACAGACTGTATATAAGATAATATTTTATTGCCATATTTTATAAATTTTGCAATACACGTAAATTTTTTAACTTTTGATCAATATTTTTAGGTTCTTCACCCTAAGAATAAGAGTAAAATACGCTAAATCCATGGATCTATCCTGTAAATTTGAAGAAAACCCAAAGGATTTTGGCTGTCTTTGTGAATATGGGATATATTTACTCGCTGTTCTTAATAATATGTTTACAATGGTATTGTCTTAAAAGCACCATATTGAAAGCGATTGTGAGGCAATTAACGTTAATTCTGTAACAATTTGAACGAAAAAACCCTGTCTTTTATCCGTTGGCTATCATAGATAAAATTATAACCCCGTAAATCTAAAGTCTTTCTATCTAGCACGAAGGAAGACATCGAAAACGTGTTCATTCCCTGACATTAAAACGCTTGCCCACGTATGTTATTTGCATCAATGACTTCATTGGGTCAGGTCTGACAATTGTCAGCTTTGTTAGCGTCTCATTTTCAATACAAAAGGTAGGTTTCTATCACTTAATCCATTACTGAATGCAGGTGGTCGACTCCAAATTTGTGGCACACCGAAAGAATCAATACTCAGGTCCGATGTCTTTAAGAAGCGTGGGACTTTCTGCGGTTCTTATATTCGCAATCTGGGCTGCATCGATCACTTACTTGACGATTGGTGAAGGTGAGTTTCAGACTGCAAAACTTATTTTACTCCTAGATTCATAATTCATCCATGTTATCTCACTTCGCATCATTGTTTATTTTTATTTCGCTAATTATTGAAAGTTTCTGTACTGAGCTTATAAAGTTACATGTCATCATGACAGAACTAAAGATGTGAGCTTAACCAACACGATTTTAAAGAAAATAACAGCTTGTAAACTTGTTCTGTAGACATTAGATGGAATACAACAAAGGGTTGTTAGTTATTATCATGGCCCATAACGGATATTTGAGCAACTATGCACACAATGAACTAAGAACTGCCACGGTAAAGAATTGCTTTATTCAAAACCACGTTTAAATCCTGACATTCAGTTCGCGTTTACAGGGACGGAAACACCATTGTCGAAAAAGTTTCGTTATTTTTAGCGGACGAGAATTCAATAAATTGCATGGAAAGAAAAAAAAAATAGCCACTTTTTACAAAACTAGAGAAGTTCTCTTGATGGCAGAACAATACTGGCATATGGAATAGATCTTAGTTACGATTTCCGTTTTCTTAAGATATTTTTTGTAAGATACTGTAGCCTATCCAAATATATATATTTTTTTGGCCACTTTTTGCAATTAAAATACGAAAATACAAGACAAAACAAAAGAAACGTTGAAAGAATACTTAGTTTGAAGTAGAGGTTTTTTAAAACCTCTACTTCAAAGTTTTAAATTGAAACTTGCCAAAGAATTAATGGTTTGAATAAGAAGATACTAGACAAAACTGCAGAAGTTTCGTGCAAATTTATTTATTTATTTATTTATTTTAACAAATTAGATTCACTTCAAGGATGCACTGGACTGGAATCTATTCAGTTTTAAATGAAAAATCTGAGGCTGTTATCAATATATTTCAACAGCAGAAAACTGATGAAAGAGGGCTGTATTTGACAAGTGAAAGAAATAAATTAGTTGTGTTAAGAAAGCAAATGACTGAAATAAAGAGATGATGATAAACAGTATAGACAAGGNTTGTTTGTTTTATCTTCGCTGGTTGTGTTCATATTGTGTTTTGTGCTCCCGTACCACAAAAGAGAAATGATAGCAGACGTTTTAGATAGTATTTGCCGTGCCATTGTGAACAAAGTTTAAATATTGCAAACGAGTATTCCGCTTTGTTCATGTACAGCTCTTGGATAAAAAAACAAATCCTGTTTTCTATTGTTTTGCTCTTTTCCTCTTTATTTTGTCATGTTTTGTTTTGTCTTGTTTTGGACAGATATTGACGAATGCAAAACATGCCTTGATGGACGTCACGAATACACTACTTGTAATGACAGATACGGATCATGCGTGTGTGTCTGCAAACCTGGATATACCGGAGATGGACAAGTTTGTAAAGGTACAGCCAACAGTCTCAGAGACACTAAGACTCTTGTTGATCATTGTAACTACTCAGAATTATCATGTGAAAAAAAGATAAGTCAGTGAATGTATTTTTCACACATAACCTTGACAATCAGTGACGCAATTTATATTGGTTACCATCGGAAAAGTAGAGAAATCCTGCATAACAAAATACAAAATGTACAAGCAATAAATTTTCCCTCTTTATAAAGTCTGGAAATAGAGAATAATACATGGTGCGTGTAGATATGGAATTTCTCTTCTCGTATTCAACTTGCTATCTCACGACTTAGTGCAGCGAACACAAAATGCCTTTTCTGACAAGAAAAGTCGACTTTAATGACACTTTGTTCAGCTCATTACTTCCAAGTTGATGTTTGTTACTTTGTATGGTTTTCATCTTGTGATACATTTTTTGGTTGTCAAATGAAACCTCTTTGTAATTTTCGTGTTTAAGATCTTTTCTTTTGACATTCTTTTTTATTCCTTTCTCTGTACGACTACCTTTATTATCATCTTTGATATAGCTGTACATCTTTGATCGCAAACCAATGAATTTAACTATTGGTGTTCCACAAGTTTCATCTTTGAATTTACCGATGACCTTTTTTTGTTTGATTCATCGAAATATTTGAATTTTTTGGATAATCACTACATTTAAACATCTGCATACATACAAATATACATACATACATAGGTTAATTGATCACTCCCCATAGGGGCTTTTCAGGGCCAACACTCACTTGTAAACATCATCTGCTTGAATTCCATATGATAATGAGTCAGTGTCGGTGAATAATAACTTCTCTTTATCTCCGTAATTCTTCTTGATATAATTGTTATTGAAATAATACATCAATGTCTTTGAAAGATCAAGAATATACATCCCAACGTAAGCTGGTAGATTCAGAGTTAATGTTTCTTTTATCTTATGAACAGCGACTAGATTCTCATTGAGTATTTTACTTGATACAAAGGTTGGTTTTGATGCTACTTTCAACAGCTTTTTCTCATCAGTGACAAGTCTTACATCGACACGCTTTCTAAGTTTTTCACTGTCTTTCCAAGTACTGAAATATTCATCAATTTAGAAAAGTCTTTCTCAAAAGCATTCTTAGCTTGAGTTCTCTTTTTTGTATTAAAGTCGATATATTGTTTTAATCACGGTGACTGATTAAATTCAAGTGCTCTATGAACCTTTTTCAATGTCATTCCAAGTTTGAGATATAAAAGAATATTTCGGTAATGTAGAACGTATTTCTCTTTATTTGATAACATTGGGATCAATTTTCATACAAGACCTGTTGGTATACTGAATTTTTCAGCTATTTGTTTACCATACGTTGACAACATGTCTTGTTTCACCGGTCATGTTAAAATGCAGACTACAGACTGCAGACTGCAGACTGCAGACCATGCAGACTGTGCAGACGCCAGAAATAACGGTTACAATCCACCAAAATTTAAAAGACAAAACAATGTGTACATGCGCGCGCAACATACTGCACGCGCTATCGTAACGTTACGTTCTTTAACAGGAATTTCCTGACATGTCTGCAACATGATGTCAGCTCATTTCTTTTGTTTAAACTTGCCATTTGCGGTTTACAAATGATAAAATA